AAGCAGTGGTTCTCAACCAGAGGTGATTTTGTTCCCCAGGGAATATTCAGCATCATCTGCAGTTGTTTTCAGTTACCACAACTCAAGGGAGTGGTGCTAATGGTATCCAGGGGGTAAAGACCAGGGATGCTGGGAACATTCCTGCAATGGACAGGATAATCACCCACAACAAAGTTATCTAGTCCAAACTGTCAAGAGCACTGAGGCTGGGAAACCCTCTATTAAAAATCAGAAGACCTGATTGCATAAACACATGAAACATCTGCACTTAAAAACAAAAAACTGCAGAAAATAGTCAAACTTTACATGACAAAGAGTTAATAATCTAATCTACATATATCAAGACCTCCTAGACTAAGGCCAAGTGCTTGAGAGCAAAACAGGCAAACCTCACTGGCAAACACAAGCAGCCAATGAGCATTTAAAACATCCCCAGAGATTTAAAAAACACTTTACATCCTAAGTACAGAGATTGCCCCTTATCCGCGGTTTCAATTGCCCCCAGTTTCAATAACCCAAGGTCAACACAGTCTGGAAGCAGAGGACCTTCCTTCCACATGGTCAGATGGTCCACAGCAGCCACACACTGCGTCACAATGCCTGCGCCCCAACTCCACCTCATCATGGAGGCATTTTATCATTGTACATCTTCACAAGAAGGGAGAGTGCAGTACAGTAAGATGTTTTGAGAGAGAGAGGAGACCACATTTATGCAGCTTTTATTACAGTACATTGTTATAATTGTTGTTTTATTATTACTTATTGTTGTTAATCTCTTATTGTGCCTAATTCATAAACTAAACTTTATCATAGGTATGTGTGTATAGAAAAAATAGTATTTTCTATCAAGTTTGGTACTATCCATGGTTTCAAGCATCCACTCTGGGGTCTTGGAACATATCCTGTGCAGTTAAGGGCAGGGCTACTGTCATCAAAACAACTTGAATTGAAAGGACACATCTAACATTACCTATAAACCTGGCACATATTTTCTAATACGCAGTGTGGGTGAAGAACACTGCCATACAGTGCCAAATGGAAGACTATGTTGATTTAAAACAAATGCATACAAAAAGACCCTCTGGGAGACAAGTTAGCTGTACTTACATTTTTATTTATTGTAAAATGTCTTGTAATTTTAACTTTTTATTTAGAATATTACATACCTTTCAACATCATCTCGAATTTAGGAATCTATCTAAAGAAATAGTTAAGGACATGTTCAAAGATATAGCTGTAAGAATTTCACCTCAGTATCTATGTGGGCAAAAACTGGAAATCCCTAAAATCTCAAATAAGGAGAAACTAATTAAATGAAATCATGGCAGACCTACGGATAGCTCTAAAAATCATGCTAGAACAAATACTGACATGGAAGGATGTTCATGATAAAGGAAAAAATATATAGAAACTACATATATAAATTATTTCTGTGAGAAATTAATATCCATGTGAAGATGGGTCTGTGTGTGTGTGTGTGTGTGTGTGTGTGTGTGTGTGTTTGAAAAGTCTGTAATAAATCAAAATGTTAACAAGTGGGTCTATTTGGGTGCCTGGGCAGGAAAACAATGAGGGCTGGGGTTTTGTTTGCTCTCTGCTGTTAACTCTAATATGCAGAACAGTGCCTGGCACAAGGGAAACACAGAATTTTTAAAATGTTGTAATTTTTGCTTATTCATATTTTCTCGATCTGCAATAAAAACATTATTTGCATAATAAAATTTTTAAATGTTTCTGTTAAAAAGACTATCAATAGTGACACAAAATGTTTTACAAATAGACATGGAAAGAATGTCACCTACTTCAAGGGGTAGTAATGTTTAAATAATTTAGGTAAATATGCTTTGTAAACTCTGACAAAGTTTCTAATAAGAAGTTCTTAGAAGTTAAATCTTTTAATATCATACATTCCAAAGTTAAACCAGTTTCATATATGCTTTGGTTGGTAGCCTTCCTCTCATAAATTTCACTCCTAGTATTTTATCCTTTAAAAACGACTGATGTGTGCAGCATTACTTATAGAAGCAAAGTTTGCAACAATAGTGAATTGGTTGAGAAAGTTGTGGCACACCCATAAGATGGAATAGTATGTCACCTTTAAAATTTTTCCTGAAGAAGTCCATTTATTGTTATACACTAATAACCTCTATTTAAAAATATCATGTATATGTAATGTAAGTAAAATAATCCTAAATACAGCTTATAACAATATCTACTGTCAAATGCTCAAAATAATTATGATAATTTTCTCATAATTTTGATCTTTTTCAATTTCTTAATTCCTTCTACTTGAACTTATTCAGCTTTTCTCTTTTAGTCCCTTCTTCCTCTCAAGATTTGATCAAAGCCATCTACAACATTTTATCTTCTAGTTGCTAAATTTTATGGATTGCTTTCATCCTTTGAAGGCATACCTGCTTTAAAGCTACAGTATGGTCAGAAAGGAAGCACCTGTATATTTTATGAAACATGAATGTAATTTCTTTTACATTTTAATGTCAGTGGCTTCTTAGACATATCTCTTTATGCCCTAGTCATGACTTCATAAATGAGAAGCTGAATCTCATTTTCTGTCCTTAAAACAAACATAAGAATTGTTTCCCAAAGCTTTATTTTTCCTACTTTCAGAGAGATCGCAAAAGGTACAAAGAAGAAACACTCAGAACTAGTATGTATTTAGTCAGGGCTAAAAGAATTAAAAACTATGAAATGTTAGTTGAATCCTTTCATAAATAGAAGGAAATATTTTCTCCCACAGAACTGTTAGAAGCTGCACAACTTTTTATACATACCAACCACATATATGCCTTGACTACCAGCTCCCTAAAAAAGCACTAAGCCCTTCCTTTTCACCAGTGACTATTTCTTTATCTGCTATTCAAACTCATCTAAACCCTTACTGCCCAGTGCTCTGCTTATACTAATTAAAAGCACTAATGAAAATAGCCTAATATTCTTTAACCTTAATTTTGCGAGATTACTTAACACTAGTACTAAATTATTTCCAACATTATTTAAAAAATATTGTAATCTGGGAATCTGATCAATACCATAATAACAAAGGAAGTCTACAACGCTGGGAATTATTAAGATTTTTCAATGATGTTTCCAGCTGAAGTTAGAGCCCAAGACAAGGGGAAGGGAACAACATGATGAAGACAAGAAGGTGAAAAAATTATTCACATGCCCAACAAGCATTAATAAGGGGGCTGTATCATGCACTTATCCTGTGGGGGTAAGTGACACATGGAGCAGAAATCTGGAAATGTTCCAAAGGAGGAGCTGGAGAGCTGTGGAGGGGATACAGTACAGAGCTAGAAAGCTAAGCTAAGAATGAAATACCAACAGAAGAGGCCAGCATGGCAATTTGTGTAGTCTGTGGCTTTCCCTGGTATTTAAAATCTGATAGAACACAACTTACCCCCTATATCAAATATACTTCCTATAGACTATGAAATAAAGCAGCCATCTAAATGCTTCTAACATTTTTAAAACCTTGGTTTATGTTCAGTTTCTGCAAATTTTTGCCTGAATTCCATCTTTTTCCCTCCAGAATCATCTTGTGACAAATGACAGGTTTTTTTTTTTTGTATATTTTTCTTCCATGATAAATTCTTGAACCACCTTTTTTTAGAGAGGGGCAATGGGGGGTCGGGGGGTACCTCCAACTCAAGGCAACTCTGTATTATCCTTAATAATATTTTGGAATTTTGGAACCATTTGATGCTCATTAGTTTGTTGTTTTTCTGGATCTCCACATTTTTATTTGAATCTATATAATTTAAACAGGAGACAGCAGTTAGGCTAATGCAGCTCTTCAATTTAAAAAAAGGAGCCTGAAAACTAGAATGTGTTTCTAGCTTCATCTTATGACCCAGATTGATAACTAACTAAAAGCAATAATTTAAAAAATATTTTGAAAAATAAACCCCAAAGAGTCATAGAAATCAATTTTGTTTACATTGGTTTTTTTTTTCAAATTTTCATTAAAAACATGTTCATTGTGAAACCATAATTATTCCCTTAGCCAAAAAATATGGGAGGGTACCAGAAGGAAGGAGCAACTTGGGAGAGATGGCATACTGGTGTTTAGGAGGATTTAATATTTTTGGTAAAGTAGTAGGATTATTTGAACCTCACCATAAGACTGTTTTGACATTAAAAATAATAACAAAATATAAACCTTATTTGAAGTAGATTGACTCTTCTCCAAATGGCTGATAACACATTACAAGGACATGTTGATTTCAGGCATTATCAAATTAAAATTCCCACAATTTGCAGACTGCTAATTTACATATCTACTCAGCCAAGCTGTTTTCCTGCAGGTAACTTGAACTCCTATTTTAAAACTCTGTCAGCAGATCTTGGGTGTTATGGTGATGAAAATGACTTTCCTTACATTTTAGCCAAGACTTTTTCACTATAGTATCTTATGAAGAAGCCATGTTAGGGCAAACATAATGACCAGATGGGGAGAAAAAATCTTAGAGAACTATTCTGATATGTAAAATAATAGGGGGGAAATGGGTATTATTAAAAATAAAGTGACAATTTCCTCATATATTCTGATTCCATATACCAAATACTGAATACTGAATTACTGATTTTTTTTAATGCTGTTTTGTACAGCGGTAGTTCAAAATGCAAACAAATCAAACTAAAGAAAGAATAGCACATAATAATGATAAGCTCAGGGGTATAATAATAATGTGCCTGAAATGGATAAAATTAGGAAGTCTGATGGCTCTAAAACATCTTTAAACCCAAGGAATCCTGGCCACTGCGAGAAGTCAACTGTTCTCTCATGTGAATAAATTTGAAAACCTTCACCTCAAAAGAAAAGACGAATTGGTTATGCAACTGTGGACTTCTACAGGGTATACAGTACTTCTCCATTTATAAATATTATTTCAGAAGGTTTTTAAAAAAATGTGATACCACCACAATCTAGGAAAAAACAACAATACCACATTCCAGCTGAAAGGTAACAAACTGACCTGATTGATGGAGTTGGCAGAGCAAGATGCAAGGCCTGTCCCCACAAAAGTAAGCAGAAAACATGTCCAATCAAAAGGTTCTGGGGCCAATGCGAATCCAGCTGAAGTGGTACTGACAACAAGGGCTGCAACACAGAAACAGAGCAGGTATCTCATTATCAAGGCAGATTCCAGACTACAAAAGCCAAAAATCAAGCCATCTTCCATATAAACCGATTGATTACATTAATAAGACAACCTACACGCTGATATTTCATTTAAAAAATTTTCAAAAAAACATTTTTCTGATTATAAAAATCATATGTGTTCATTATAGAAAAATGCTAATTTTCCTTTAACTGCATTAGACTTAAAGAATAAAAATAAGACAGGTGTTTCAGATTCAATCATTTACTTATTCATTCAACAAACATTTAATAAACACCAATTTGTGATCAATACTGTGCTGGGCATTAGACATTGTTTGGGATAAAGGTATACAAGGTCTCACTACTCTCAGGTAAGTTATTTGATAGGGAGATGACAGATATACTTTAATAAATATAACACAAGGCAGCTAATCCTAAGGGCAACCTAAGCAGACTGCTTACCTTTAACAGATGATGGTCCCAGGGGCCAGAATATGATTAAAGGATGACTAGAGGGAGATAACTCTACAGCCACCAACAGTAACAAAGAAAGGGCCAAGTGCAGACACAAAGCCATGCAATTCAAGCATCCACTTAGGATGCTCCCTTTCTTAAGGCCCTGGTCCTTCTTTCCTGAGGGTTTACAGAAGCTGCCAGCATCACAGAGTGTCTATGAGTAGTACTGATAGAAGGCTGCAGGAAGTCACACTGGACAAGACAAAAAAAGGATGAAAAGAAAACCATTGGTGGGCTAATCAGGGAAGGCTTCAAGAAAATGGCATTTCAGCTGGCATCACAAGCCAGGCCTTGAGGAGATGTAGGAAAGGAGAATGGCAGGGTGGGCATCATTAGAGGTGGCTGGCAAGCTGCAGGAAAGGCAAGGGGCAAGAAAGATCAATGTCAGGAGTCTGAAGTATGTATGATGCCATCTGCCTAGGTTTCAAACAATACATCTGGGAAGCATTTTTGAGTCTGTTCTTTCTCACCCTTCTCTGCAACCTGTCTATTGTAAAATACTGTCTGTCTTATCTCCACAATGCATTTCAAACTCATCTCTTACTGCCACCATCAAACCCAGTGGTTCACAACCAGGTGTGGTTCCATCCCCAAGGACATTTGGTAATGACTGGAGACCTACCTGGCTGTCACAACGCTGGGTACGGGACTGCTGTCCTCTAGTGGGTAAAGGGCCAGAGATGACTCTAAATATCCTAAAGTGCATAGGAAGCCCCTCAAAGAGAACTTTCTGGCACAAAACATCACTAGTGCTGGGGCGGAGCCAGGATGGCGGCGTGAGTAGAGCAGTGGAAATCTCTTCCCAAAAACACATAGAGCTATGAAAATATAACAAAGAAAACTCTTCCTAAAATAGAGACCAGAGGACACAGGACAACATCCAGACCACATCCACACCTGCAAGAACTCAGCGCTTTGCGAAAGGGGTAAGATACAAGCCCTGGCCCGGCGGGACCCGAGCGCCCCTCCCCCCGGCTCCCGGCGGGTGGAAAGAAACCGGAGCAGTTTTTTTTTTTGGCGAGTGCTTTTAGGAAGCCTTAA